CCGTAGCTATTCATTGTAAAGCGCAGCGTGCGTGTACGCATCGTATGTGCATTAACCGTGAATGCGAACCGTCAGTATCAACCGTCAATATCAAACGTAGTAGATTCTCCGTAGAGTTTAACCGTGAGCTTTCACCGTGAATATTGATTGCGAACGCTAACCGTAAACATTACCGTGCATGAGCACAGCAGTGTGCACTTACAGCCCCCCGCCGTCGTACCGTTCTAGTTTACCATCCTGACAGGAAGGGATCGGCAGGTCGCAAATGTCCAAACGGCGTATTCCGAGCGTTCTCTTAGACGCGCGCATCTAGCATCTAGGCGGGGGAGGGAGGGATGCAGGCAGGCAAGCAGGGAGGGAGGCAAGAGAGCGCACCCCTCCCCCCCCACACACACACACGCACACACACACACACACACACACTCACACACACACACACACGCACAGACACACAAACACACACACACACATACACATACACATAAAAACACACACATACATATACACACATGGGAGTTCCCTCCCGGCCCCTGGGCCCCGGTCCGGAACCTCCCTTGTACATAGGTAGTGGCCCCTTCCCCGGGACGCCCCTCCAGCGGCCCCCGCGCGTTCCAGTCCGCCCTAGAAGGCTCCAACAGCGCCGAGAGAACCCCAGGATCGCTTCCAGACCGCCAAAGATCGCTTCCAGAAGGGCCAAGAGGCCTTCCAGCCGCCCCAAGAGGCCGCCAAGAGGCCCCCCAAGAGCGCCCCGGGATACCAAAATGGCCCCAGTCCCTTCGTAAAACGTGCGTTTTTAGGATATCAGCTCCCTTGGACATCGGAGCGGGCAAAAAGCCCCAAGAGGCGCCCAAGGACGCCCCAGGACGGCTGAGACAGCCCCAAGACGGCCCAGGAGGGCCTTCCGGGACGCTCCTCCGGCGGCCCCCAGGCCTCCCAGTCCGTCCAAGATGGCCCAAGAGACTTTCCGGTCGCCCGGAGAGGGTCCCAGGAGCGTTCCGATACCGCCCAAGATGGCTTCCAGAAGGGCCACGAGGCCCTCAAGACGCCCCAAGAAGGCTCCAAGAGGCCCTCCAAGAGAGCCCCGGGAGACAAAGCTGGCCCCATTCCTTTCGTAAAACATAATTGTTTAGAAGAGCCCCCAAAAGGCCCGAAGAGGCGCCCAAGAACGCCCCAAGACGGTCTAGGACAGCCCCATATACACATCATATAAATAAATAGACCCCCCCCTGGCCTGGGCCAGCCCACCCCGCAACCAACGAGCGGAAGCCCGCTGATACCACCCCCGTTTCGCTCCCCAGAGGCGGCCCGGAGAGGGTAAGCGGGTGCCAAACGAGCCAAGAGGGTTCCAAGAGGCCCCCAAGACAGCGCAAGAAGGTCCCGAGCTGTCCAATAAGGCCCAGGAGTATTCCCAGAGCACTCCCCAGAGGGACCCAAGAGGCCCAAATCAATGAATCCCTGTGGGAGAACGTATATTTTTAGCATGTACGATTTTTCAACGTTCGCGGCCTTCACGACGGTCCAAGAGGCTCTAAAGATTTCCTCAAGACAGCCCAAGACGTTCCCAAGAGGCCCCCGAGCCAGCCCAAGAGGGCGCCAAGACGGCCCAAGGGCTGCCTGAGACGAACAAGTTGGCCCCGAGACGGCGCCCAAGACGGCCCCAAGAAGCCACAATCGTTGAATTCATACGGGAAACGTACATGTGTTCATATGCGACTTGTCGGCCTTCACGGCTTTGAAGACGGCCCAAGAGGTTCCCCAGACTTGCGCAAGAGAGCCTAAGACATTCCCAAGAGGCCCACGAGAGGGCCAAGACGGCCCAAGGGCTGCCAAAGACTACCCAAGTTAGCCCTCTAACGGGCCCGAAGAAGGCCCAAGAAGGCGGCCCCGAGTCGCTCAAGACTGGCCTAAGATGTCCCCAAGAAGGTCCAAGAAGGCTCCGAGACGTCCCAGAAGGCCTCCAATAGCACTCCCAAGAGGATCCTTAGAGACCAAAATCGCTACATTCCTGTAGGCGAAACGTACATTTTACGCATGTACGATTTTGGGACTTTCACGGCTTTGAAGACGATCCAAGAGGCCCCCAAGATTTCCCCAAGCGAACCGAAGACGTTCCCAAGAGGCCCCCAAGATAGCCAAAAGGGCGCCAAGACGGTCTAAGGGCCGACTAAAATGGCTCCAGGAGGGGTCCAAGAGGGGAATTCCGACTCGAAAGTAGCAGCCGTCCGCCCAAAGAACCTCCCAGGAGGCCCCAAAAGTCCCCAAGAGGACCCAAGAGGACCCAAGAGGTCCCCAAGAGACCCCCAAGAGGCCCAAACGAGGCCCCAAGATGGTTCAAAACGGATAGGACGGCCTCCAAGAGGTCTCCCAAAGGGGGTCCGGCAAGGTCTTCTTGCGGATCCGAACATACACAGCTATACGACGACGACGATTTCTTGGCCCATTCTTAGGTCGCTGCGGAAAGGCCTCAGGAGGTCTTGGAAGTCACTTGAGCCGTTGGCGT